CACTCAGCTGCCGTCAGTGTGTCCGACAGCCTCCTGCCGGCAAGTCAAGAGTGTGGATCCTACGCATTAGGTAATGGCTCATAATACTACATTGGACGAATTTTAGTGTAGTTATACCTCTCGTTCTGTATTTTCTATTTGTATTTTTCCGAGAGAACACAGGGTCACAGAGGGAATCATGCCTGTATATTATATAAACATAGATGGTTAGATAACCGAGTAGAGATTTCCCTGCCCGGCTCCGCCGTCGCTTCCCCGTGTGTTTCTCAGCCGCATTTCCGCAAGGAGCGTCAGACCTGTCCCTCTCCTCCGCCAGGCGTCCAGAGTCAGCCATGGCCACGAGTCTCAAGGTCTCCCTGTGCGTCCTCCTGGCGACGGCGGTGCTGGCGGCGAGCCCGGAGGTCGTGGAAGGATCTCCGTTCGGCGTCCCGAAGGGCTTCGTCATCGGTCCTGTCACAGAGCCCAACCCCTTAATTCCAGTCACCATCGTCGGCGCCCCTTGCCGGTGTCCCCCATCCCAATACCCGGTGTCAAAGGTGCCGTGTCGTTGTGTACCGAAGTGGGGTTCACCGATAATCTAAGGCCCAGTCGCTCGAGGCACGCAGAAGACGTGTTGAAATTCTGCTTCTACTGTGAGAAGTTCTACATTTAGTTGACACTCAAGTCTATGAGATTATTCATTTTCTGATTCTATGACTGTGTGTTTCTGTGAAATAAGGACAGAGTGGGTGTTTCCCGATGCATTTTGGAATCACTGACTAAGTCCTAATAATCACTCGACCGCATTCACAACTTCTGTGCTTGGTCACTTCCTTTCAAGAGATCCATTTTAGCAACCGTCCTATCTTGCATTTACAGTTATACAATACCCGGAGTCAACTAGACCAAAGGCACAACTTCCCAGTGGTGGAAACAAGGACATTAAACAAGGCTGTTAGGCAGAGCTGTCGCGACAACCGCCTCTGAATGACTGGAGGCCCTGTGCTTGGCTCAGCGTTCGAGGTGTGATTGTTTTCTTTTGTAAGCTTATTTTAGTGCGCATTCAGCAACTTTCTTTTTATTTCATTATTGTCCACAGAATTGCCAAAATGCATTTGCGAGTGGGGCTGCGGGACGTCATAATATTATATCTGTCATTTCGTCTCGACAAGCGTTCCATGCCATTATAAAGCAACCCTCAGAAAATACTTTTTCACCACAGAAGCTAATGGAAGTTTGTTACATTTGTCATTACTGTGTGGGTCACAATCCAAAGCAATTTTGTTTATATATGTGATGTATTGAATGCAAGAAAAGTAAACAATATATTCTATATATCTGCCTATGATATCAAATAAACAGTTATGCTGTCATTTCTGGTATCTATCATATACCGACTCGGACGCCATGCCCCACCGGCCAGACGCCATAACCGTTATACCAAGGTCTATATAACTACTTATATAGACCTTGGCAATGGCTACGTCATAGGGCACTGGGTCCTGCTGCACCGACGGCCCAGCTGCAAGGATGGCTGCCCCGCGAGCCGTGAAGACTGCACTGCGTCTGCGATGGCTATCCTACGTATTATTTTATATCTGAATGGGGTAGCCTTGCGAACTCGTGTATTTATTCATTCACTGGACTGGATTTCCACTGAAGGAGTTGGCCATTATTTTTATATGAAATAATGTCAAAGATGAAGGCATAATATGCCGTGAAAATTTGGCAGTGTATGCTCGCAATAAGTAAAATTGTTTCTAGATTTCACCTTGATTTATTTATCTTCAGATTGTGCATGGGAATGCGAATGTAAAATTTCCGAATATTTTTCCTAAGCAGATGAATCTTATCATTCATCTAACCTACAACAGTTAGCACGGGCACACAAATGCATGCAGTGTATATATAAATATAAAAGCGTATGATCGTATTAAGACCTGAAGAGGAAGATTGCCAAACTGTGCAAAAAAGATGAATGTAAAAGTATTGGCAGTGCGTTTACGGGAAAGTGGAGAGAAAAACTTGGAAAAGAAGTGAAAGTCGGACTGCTCCAGAGAACAACTTTATAGGTAACGGCTCGGATTGCGAGGTGCTTGATCTCTGGGATAAAATAAGACAAGAACTATTAGTCAGGTGACAAGATCTGCTGCTTGGGTTTTTCGTTCGGAAAAGATCTGCCTGAGCTGAGATGCTGAATCGACAATAACAATAATAACTACTGATGATTGAAGCATTAATTCCGTGTGTAAGTACGGCACAAGTAGAAATATATAAGTTAAACGAAGTAAGGTAATTCATAAACAATGACGTTAATTAGTATTGTAAGTGTAAATATACGTCAAAAGGTAACGTAAATGTAAAAAAGAGGTATTAGAAAAAACTGGAAATGCAAATAAGTGAAATATTATCGTAAATGTGAATATTCAAGAGAAGGTTTGGTTAATATGAACTTAGATGTTCATTAATGAGTACCGTAAATGCAAGCAAAGAAGCAAACTGAAAACGTGACGCTTACAAA